GCCCCGCCGAGCCGCCACGGGGCTCCCCAGCCGGCAGCGCGGGGGCCTCGCCACCAGACGAGGCCCCGCGCAAGCCACCGCCAGCAGAGATAGCTGCGGGACCACCAGCATCCATAGGCATGGCCACGGCGCGCGAGGGTCCAGGACCGACGCGTATACATCACCACCGCGGGCTGGTTTTCTGTCATGGGGGTCGATCGGGTTGCTATTTCGGCGGCGGGTTGCAGGGCGCATCAAATCTCGCGGCGCCGACACGTCGCGCGCGCAGCGCCATTTGGACACGCGGTTGCATGCGCCAAAAAAACAACGCAGTTACGTGGTGTATATTTCGGGCCGGTGCCTCAAATTCCCGGGGGTGGGGGGGGGTGCCCGTCGTTTCTATGCGCCGCCACCGCGCTGCCATAGGTGCTTCGGACAAATAATTCGCGACCGAATGCGGCCGCCATCTGCGCGCGCGACCACGCGGCAAGTACTTGCGCTTGGCGGGGGCAGGCGGGGGCACCCCTGTCAGCGCGGTCGCGCGCAGGATTTGTTATTTTCCCATGGCCGCCTGGTGGCGGTGTAAAATGGAGCCCCGCAGAGGGGCACTTGCGCCTGTTGAGAAGTCGCGCGATGGCATCCGCTCAGGCTCATCCACCATTGAGCTGCAGTGCGGCGCCATTGGGCGCCTGGCCAACGCCGCCGGCAGCATCCAGCGCGACCGCGCCACGCCGCTTAATAAGATACGCGCCGACAAGCAGACCGTCAAGGAGATCGGCGACCCTGGGGCGACCCGCGCCAGGAACGCCGACATTTGCCCGAACGACTGCATGTCGCGCGACCAGGATGACTTACATCTCCAAGTCGCAGGGCACCTGCCTGGGAGAGGCCACCAACCGACCCGCCGACCTCTTCGGCAGCGACACGAAAGACCCCTCAGACCACGCACGGGGCCCGCGATGCACCAACGCACCAGCAACCGACGCAGTCGGCACCGCGCCCCGACAGGGGGCGGACCAAGACCAGGACAAGAGCCCCACCACCACAGACACCCAGCCATTGCAGCTACCACGTGCTGTCAGCAGCCGACCTCTTCCATCAAGAGGATGTTCCTCACGGTGGACATGGCGCGTCAACGAGCTCCTCCGCGATATGACAGGCGCAGAAAACCTCCCCGACATCGCCACTGGAAGACATTGTTCCTCTTCGCACACCGTCAACCCGCACCGCCGTCGTCATCGTCGCGATCATCACCGACGGCAACAATGCCACCAGCGAGGGAGGAGGCCATCTACGACGCCAGGTACGCCGCTGCCTGCTCCGGCATCCAAGCGGTCATCACGGACTTCGGCCAGGGGGGGCGTCGGCCTGCTGTCGACAACATGGATTACGCCAAGAAGAAGCACAACGCCACCGCTTCATCTTCGGGCAGCGAGACCCGCGCAAGTCTGCAGTGCATCCAGCCAGGCGACGACAAGGACATTGCCGACAAAGCGGTAGGCCCACGGCCTGGCCTGCGCCTGCCCACCCCGCTTCTCCCATCAACCGTGAAGTCGGACATTTCTCGCTGCAGAGGCAGATTAGGCGCGCGCCACCCTCGCGCCAAGACGGGAATTGCCCAACGGAGGCACGTCAGTGCGTCATTATTCGTGCACTTGTTTCCGCTTGCGCCAACGGTGACAGTATATCGAGACCTCCTACGACGAAGATGGAAACCACGAGCTACTCCTTTCCCATTTCCGACCTCGGCGTTTGCCGTGCCGCCGCGCTCCGTATCTTGACAGCAGCAGCACAGTCCGGCACCCGTCGCAGTCTGAACCTCCGCCTCTCCGCGACGGCACCCCCAACCTCCGCTGGCATGCACCGCGGCTTCGACGCCTGGAGTTCCAGGCGTCGAAGATGGTGGTCAAGCGGTTCGGTTGCAATGTAGCCATGCGGATCTGAGCTTGCCATGTCTTGCCATTTTGGCGGGGGCTCGCAAGAGCGTTTGTGTTGTGATCAACTGTGCTCGATATATCCAGCGGCAGCGTTTCATCCCAATATATTATGTTGAAAAAGTCAGCAGGGGCCAAATAGGTGATGCGAAGCAACATAGGTCTCGCATGGAGCGCGCGCCCACGGAGGCTGCGTCTACAGGGGGGCTGCCCCATGCGGTGGGCAGCGAAACCCGCCGCGGCCATTTCGCCCGCGAATGCCGCTCGCCCGACGCGCCGCGAGAGCGCGAGCCACGCGCGACCAGGCGATGGCGCTCTTCCGCGCGCCCCTTCGGCGGGGGCCCCCAGCGCCAGCTGCAGGCTGGGGCCTCGGAGGTAGCGTCGCGAAGAACCTCCCTGGACTGGCTTCGCCCGACCGCCGCTCCTGCCCCGCCCCCCCCCCCCCCTTTCGCCCGCTGAACCAACTCCTGCTTATTCGCGCGGCGGCGGAACGAGTGGGGGGGGGGCATCTGGGGAAGCCGCTGACTGCCGCGGCAAGGACAGCGGCGGTCGCCTGCAGCCGTCGCGCGCGCCGCGCCCTGGCTGCCGAATGCTCAGCTTGCCCTGGCTCCACCTGCCCCACCCCCTGCCGCTGACCTCAGAGCCAGCAGTGTGTAGCAGCGCATTGACGTGAGTCGATTTTCGCAGCTTTACCCCGCGCGACCTTCGGCCTTCCTCTCTACCCAGCTAGATGGACTTGGCATGTCTCAAGTTCCCCGCCGCTGACTTTGCGCCGAGCAACTTGCGGCCGGAATTGCACGCGTCTGCCCACAATGTTCTGAACAATACATCGAGCTGTTTACCCCGAGCCAACCTCCCATCCGCAATGGCGCGCAACCTCCGACAACGGTCTACTAGCGGTAGTGGGGGGGAGCAGGGGCGGGGGGGCTATGCGCTGCAAGTGCGGCGCTGCTCGGGTGGCTCAAACCTCCCCGCGCCTGGCGAAATTGCCCCTGCCCGCCCCGCCGCCCCGCCAGTTTTCCCCCGGGAACCCTGCGGCCACCTCGGCCGAGGGCCCACTTGGGAAGACTGGGGCCGAGCAGGCGGGGCCCCGAAGAGCAGAGAGGAGGCCCCTGAGCCGCCCGCCCTGGCGAGCGTGGCCCCGCCAACCGCGGTCGCCGCCGCTGGATTGCGCAAGCCTTCCAGCGCTCAGTGGCACCCCCCCTCTTGGCCCGCCAGTCCCCCTCTGAGGTGCCCTGCGGCCACCTCGGCTTCAGCGGGTCTGGGGGTCGGGCTGGTGGGGCTTCTTATGGGCTGGGGAGAGCATCCATTTGGGCGAGAGCGGCCGCCGCCACGCTTGGCCGCTGCCATGGCGGGGGCCACGGCCGCCGCAGGCAGACCGCGCGCACGCATTCGTCCTCGCAGCCTGGTTTCAAGCCCACATGGCCGTCGCATCGCCTGCCTTTTTCGATCGATGTTTGACATTATTTTCCTCCCCCTCTGCTCGAGGCCTGTAGTATGCATGTCTCCGTACAGGGCATGATCATGTTATTTATTCAACCACTCAACAAATGCTTTCGGTGACCACTCGTTCGGCTGACTTCTAAAATGTTTTTTTTTTCTTTGGACTCTTGGCTGGCTTTTTTGGTATCGCTGGAGGTCTCATGTGTTTTTTTTCGATTGCGAATTGCTTCTTTGATTTGCTTCAGATACTCTCAACGAAAGTTGATTAGCTCTGCGGTCAGCCACGTGTTCATTATATCGTTCGGCCCTGTATGGAAACATGAGGCATGGCTTGCGGTTGTAGTAGTTGCGTGAGGTATCCGCCCTGTCGTTGCAATTGTACATCGTGGTTGGCGGTGGTCGTTCTGAACGGTGCCGTCGGATGTGTTTGCTATGAGTGGTATTGTTGTCATGCATGATGTATCACCGAACTTGATAAGATATGCCGCCGCGGCGGCCTACTCATGATTATGTGCTTGAGTGAGCCCTACTCGAAGACCACCCCAATCAATATCCGAATCGTTCGTGCTAAGATCCGCTCACACTCAGAACCTCGAGCCCGCGAAGCGGATCCCAGTGCACGTTCGCGGCCAGACTCTCGAGCTGCACAATCAAAGACTCACTGCACGGCAAAGAATGAGGAGGAGGAGGCGGAGGAGGACACCTGGAGGATCCGAAAGGAGGGGCGCCGAAGTTCCCCTCGCGGCTTCTTCCTCCGAGAGGCGGTGGGGGCCAGCCTCCGCCGAGCTGGCCCCCGCGCGGCGGGCCCAAATGGCCCGCCAAAACGGTGGAGTGGAGGCGGGTGAGAGTGAAGTGGTGCTGTGGTTTTAGGGGTCTGGGCTTGGGTTGAGGTTTCAGGTGGGTCGGGGTCGGGGTCGTGTGTCAATGGGATTGTGGAGGGGCTGGGGCTTTTGTTGGGCGGTGTCCGAGCAGGATTCGGTAGGTTGGGGTGGGTTGGTGCTGAGGCTGAGTCTGAAGGTGCTGAGGTCTGAACTGGGAGAGGAGGGCCTAGGAAGAGGCCTGCGGCCTCGCTCACACGTGGTTCCCGAGCTTGGCGGCCTCCAGCCGCTTCTGGATGAGCGGGTGCGCCAGCTGCGCTCCGCGCGGCAGCTCGCCGAGTTTCATGTTCTGAATCGTGAGCAGTTGGCCGAGGCGGATTTTGTCCTTGACCTTCCTCACGGAGTGCAGGACAACCGCCTCGGCCTCCGTCGTGACGCCTCGCGCGATGATATCCGCGCTCGCTGCGAGCACGGCAGCGTCGGCGGTGCCGCCGACGTGCTCGACGGCACTCTTGTAGGCCTCCGTGGCCTCGCGAGGCCGTCCCTCCTCTCACTCATCGTCCTCCTCCCCTGACCACCCCCCCTTCTCCTCCCCCCCCCCCCCCCCCCTCCCCCCAACCTCCTCTTCCTCCTTACCCCCCCCCCCCCCCCCCCCCCCCCTCCCCCCCCCCCCCCCCCCCCCCCTCCTCTCCTCAAGCCCTCCCGATTCCTCCCCCTCTCCTCCTCCTCCTCCTCCTCCTCCTCCTCCTCCTCCTCGTCATCCTCGTCCTCATTCGGCCTCTCATCCTCCTCCTGCTCCTCCCAGGGCCCAAGCCTTCTCCAAGGCCTCCCTCAGCTCCTTGTGCCCCTTCGCCTTGAAGCCCGCCATCGCGCCCATCTCCACGAGCTTCTCGAGCGCGTCAGCCTCCCCGACGCCAGGCGCGTCGTGCCAGAGGGCCCCGTCCGCTCAGCCTCCAGCGCCCTGCATGACAGTGACCTGCAGCCCTTCGAGCTGCTCAGCCTCGATCCGCATGGTCTCCAAGGCCACGTCCGTCAGGTTCGCGCCCACACCTTCGAACAACACCTCGGAGTACTTGTCCATGATCACCTGGTGATCCTCGAACCCGCTCATCGCCTTCACCGTGGCGAACGTGCCCGTCACCGACCTCCACAAGGATCTCAGGCTCGCGGTTGCGTCGTAGTTCTGCTCCTCGTCCTTCTTGGCTCGCTGAGCGCTGGTGTCCCCGAGGCCGAGGAAGCGCCGCAAGTAGTCGCCATCCGACTGGAGCCCTGGAAGAACCCGCCCAGCTCGAGGACGTCGTCGCGCAAGCCCTCTTGCCCATCGATGCCGTTGCGCACGACGCCAGCCGAAAGCTTGAAGATCGCGAGAATCGTGGTGAGGTCGGGCAGGTTCTTCGTCAATGTTGGCCACGCTTGTGAACGTCCACGCCGCCAGATGTTGCAACGCCTGGTAGTGCGCAACCCTGGACTCGGCAGTGTAGATCTCGTCTTCGAGGGAATTGAGCTTCGAGAGGATATCCTTCTCTGCGCTCTCTGAGTGCGGCACGTTCTTCACCAAGTTCTTGATGATGTTCGATGCAACCTGCTCGAGTCGCTGGCTCCGCTGCGCGCTAGAGAACTCCTTATTGAATTGCTCGAGGCTGGCCAGTTCCACGCGAAATGCCGACACTTCGGGGAAAACTTTCAAGCTTCTGCGCAGTAGTGAGATAGCCGTGTCGACGGACCCTCCAACCTTATCACTTTTCTTCGGTTTCTTGACAACGGCATCGCTGAACTTCAAGAGGCCCTTACTGAACATATTGGCGAGAGTGGCTAGCATCTGCGATGTGTTCGCCTTGTCCACAGTGCGCCACTTGCGGTAATTCTCGGCGGCTGTCCCAAACGAATCCACGGGCGCAAGATTCGCGATCGCGTCCTCCGCGCGGCCCCCGGGACACAAGCATTCGTTGATGTTGTCCACGTGTGGCTGAACGGCTTTCAGCGTGCTCAAGGTGTTGTCGTGCTTCTCGTTTGCGGATGTCACCAGCTTAGACCAGTGGAAAGAGGTCCCCAGGGAAGAATTCACGTACCCCATGGTGCCCCAAGGCGGCGCCTTCTCAGACACATCCTTCTGGAACTTCGCGAACTCGGCGTAGCGCTCCTCGTAAGTATCTCCAACGGTCTCTTTAGCCAAGTCCTCTAGGAATATGACTTGCTTGAGCGAGGTAAGTAACTCCCTGCCGACCGACATGAAGCATGGAGGGGCCATGGCCAACTGCAGCTCGTTGAACAATTCATCGCAGACAACCTGTGCAAACATGGCGGTGGAGTCCTTGCAGATGTCGCCCTTCAAGATCATGTTGCATGCGAAGGCGTTCACAAGGAGCTGGACGTACATCGAAACCCTGTCGTCCAAGATTTCGCTGGGGATATGGGCCACCTTCGGGTCGAGAGGGTCAAAGGGGCTGCACGGCCCCAACCTCTCGTTCGGATTGATCGCGTGCGTGATGTTGTCCTCGTTGTCAGCCATGCCAAGATCAGTATCACCAAACCCTGCAAGGTCGTCAAAAGTTTCCAATTGGTGATCCATGGCTTCCATCACGGCTGTCCAAGGTTTGGGGTGATGCCAGATTTCCTTGATGAGGCGCGTCTGGTCCACAGTGAGCTTCGAATTCTCTGGGGTGATGCCGTTCACCTTTCGAGCGGCGATCGCAAACATGTAGGTGGGGTCCAACGCCTCAGGCCAGTTCGGGATGGCCAATATCGGCCTCAGCCCCTTTTGAAGCATTTCGTCGGTCACCAACCATCTTTGATTTTTTGCTTCGTGACGGCGAGGGCGGCCTTCACGTTATTCATGTGTGCGTTGAGACTTGCGTAGTTCGCAGCATACTCACGTGTGCCTTGAATCTTCTCGAATACATTCTTGGCCTCTTTGATGCAGTTCTTCAACTTGGCATCCATCAGATGTTGAAATAGGTTGTTCTTCCGAATCCAATACTCGCACTTGCCTGGGGCATCGGGCGGGTCAGTCTTCAGCAACTCCGCCGCGCTGACCGCGCCGTCGTCTGGCGCCGCTGAAGAAATCCCCGAACAAGGCACCTTCGGAGCACCTGCATTTCCTGGCCCTGAGTTGCTCGCAGAGGAGCCGTGCACCGCATTGAGCTGGTCCAGGGCGCCTGATGTCAAGCCATTTGCATGTGGGCCCATCAGTGGCACTGGTGGCAAGCTCTTCCTGGGCGATGTCGCACGAGGTTCACCGAGTGGGGTAACTGCCGACGATGCCACAACCGTGTCGCATTGAGAGTTCACGTTGTGCTTGCCGCGCTTCCTTTCTGGGCCCCACGTGGCGAATGGCGAGTCGTCGGGGGTGGACCTTCTCAGCGGAAGAAGAGTGGGCGGCTTTCCTTTGTCATCACCGTCACCATCTCCAGCCTTCTTGCCTGCGCTCTTCTTCTGGCCCAGACCAATCGCTGCGCTGAGCGTGGGGACGTCCAACGCTTGGCTCTCGTTGAGCATCCTCGAGTCTGGGTTGTCCGCCCACTCGAAGATGGCAGATCCCTGGCCCTGGACAAGACTGTTCTGCAATGCCAGCAACTTGCGCTCCGGGGGGTTCGTCAGCGTCCAGCTGACGCGTTCACGCCTAAGCCCAGAGTTCTTATTGTCGGCCATGTCGTCGATGATCCTGTAAAACCTCCTGAACTTCCCGTGCTCGTCGACGCCCCATGCCAGGTGAGGCTCCATCTTTTTCAAGACTGTGGGCGTCAGGTGTGGAAGCTTTGTCAGAGCTCGCAACTGTGACGATGAGCCGATCGTAGTAGTATGACCTCGAGTGCTGGAGGATCGAGCAGATTTCCTCGTCGTCTCCTGGAGTGTGTCGTGGGAGTGCATCCGCAGACGGGTTGCCGACCACGCTCTGGATGTACTTCTCTCTCAGAATGGGGCTTTGGCCGCAAGCCCGCACCAGCTGACCCTCATCGAACATGGGGAACAAGATCTTTTTGGCGTGGCACTGTCTGCACAAGATCGAGTTGTCCTGGGAAAAAAACTCAATCCCTTCTCATTCTCCTCCCATGCCTCCTCATGCTCCCCTTACTCGTTTCGATCTTCGACTGTCGATCGCGACCCGGCCCTGGTTAGGCCCTGGTTTCCTGGATTCGAAAGTCTCGGCCACGGGGGTGGGTCTAAGTTGAAAGCCCTGGGTCCAGCTGCGGCCCAGCGCATATCGCTCAGAATGCCATCGCGATGCTGTTCTCAACGAGAACGCAGAATATGGATAATATGGAGGCGATCTTAAAGATCATGGGGCATTCACTCGAAGTGCTTGCTGGGTAGCTGATCGAGGCTCTCTGAAATAGCTCGGGCCAGGCCGAATCTGAGACCATGAGAAGGTTCTGCATTACCCTCTCCCCCCCTTGTTGTCTGCCAGCCACCCCCCCACGCAGTTTCTGGAGGGCAAGGGTCATTGGGGTGAGGCCTCAGGAGGCCGCCACTCTCGTTTAGGTAGGCCTTGCTCAGGCTAGCCCGAAGGAGAGTGGGATACGTTCAAATGCAACGGCATCTTGCTCCCCGAGGTCCGAATGGGGAGGGTGGGGGGGGGGGGGGAGGGCAAGTAGAGGGTCTTATATTGTAATCCAACGTGTTTACCCCTCGCATCTCAGCTAAACGTTGTACGGTTGTTCTCGTGTATGTTGTAGCTGCTGTATCTGATGAAGTGGCTGCTGCATCCGACGCAGAAGATGCAACTGCGGCATCTGTTGTTGTTGATGTTGATGTTGGCTTGTCTGATGTAGCCGCTGCAGTTTCATGCATGGCTTCGTTTGCCGTAGCTGATGCGACTGTTGCTGATGCTATTGATGCTGCTGGTGCTTCTCGAGCTGCTGTTGATGCGATGGCTTAGAACGCCGCAGCCGCCGACCCCCTACCGCCAAGAGGCCCGCCTCGCGGGCCGCACCCGTGATGGGGCGCGCGGAAAATCCCATGGGTTCGTTTTGCATGGCCCCTGGAACACAACGGCACAATTCCTCCTGGAAAACTTGTTGGCCACATTACTCCTGGAAAACCTGCCAGCTACATGTTCAGGCTTTGGGTGGACAGGCTTTTCACGCAACAGCAACAGTGCAAACGGAACGTCCAGGCGCGTTCTTCGCGCCGAAACTCCCACGGCAGCGCAACCTTCTCGCTGATCCACATCAGCACGGTCAAGTGAAACAAAGTACAGTCGGTCGAACACGTCACTACTGTATCACATCGTCGCGGTGATTGCTTTTATCCAAAGTGTTGTTCCGTGCTCTGATGCGTTTACCCTTTGCGTCACACAAGAAGCCCCTCAAACCAGAGAACGAGCGCCCAAAGCCCACGGATTTGTCGGACCATATCCTGAAGAAACGCAAATCCCCATGCACTCCCTCCCTCGGAATAATATGCGATGTCGATCACCTCTTGTTTTTCGGGGTCCCTGGGGCCCATTCGAAAAATCATGTCCGCAAATATTGGGGCTCTACCTGCTGAAGCTTAGATGCAAGCAGCCCGATTGCCAAGTAGGTCAAGGCACGACCTCTGGCTCGGTATCATCACCCTCGTGATACTTGGGTGGTTCGCAGCTCTCTTCAAACTCACGCCACCTGTCTTGAAGCGCATCTCGCTGGACAGTCCGAGCCACGCAACGTTCGCCAAGGGAAGGCTCGTAGGCTTGGTGTGCCGCTCGAGATGCGCAGTCAGCGCCAGCGGCAATCCACGCAGCCCCCCAACCCAGGGACCGACCTTGGCCTCGCCTGCTCTCGAGCTTTGAGCGGTAAGCAGCTTTTTCTCGAGTGCACCTGCCGTGGCCGTTTCCCTGGCATACAAAAACGAAGCGGGAACGATCGGACCTGTAAAATAAAACCTGCCCACCGCCATGTAAAAGAATATCACGCGTAGCGTTCGAAGCCCTGGAAACACCTGGCAGGGCGGGCCCCCCGCCACCAGAGCTTGCTGCTGCTCCTGCAGCGGGCGCGACAGGGGGTGGAGGTGGCTCAGGAGGGGGTGGAAGTGGAGGGCCATGCACAGGCAGCCCCTCTGCTTCAGAAGCGTGCGCGCCTGCAGGTTCAGGCGGGCATTGCTCATCCAGCTCAGGTGGAAGGCCATCACCACCGCCTCCAGCGCCATCATCACCATCAGCAGACCCAGGACGCGATTCACTGTCAGAATCCCCGCTGGAGGTGCTGGAAGCGGTGCTGGAGGAGTCCTCGTCCTGCTTGTCCTCTGCGCGAACAGACGAAAAGCACTGAGTCACTGAACGCAAACACTGCTTTTCAAATACGATGTTTCAGAAAACACAGCACCTGGTGAAAAAAACATGACCAGAAGAAAACCTCTTAGCGTCGTGGAGAGAGTGTCCGATCATTTCAATCGGTCTCCTCGTCGTCATAAGAGCTGTCGGATACAGAGCTGTCCCCGTCGGTGTCGTCGGCATCTGAATAATCTCGCCGTGCGGCGGCCCTACCTCTCGGCCATACTTTGTGCCACGAGCCATGATCGATCGGGAATGGGGTCGCCACTACCTCGTTGGGCTCCAACCTCAGGAGCCTCAAGTTGGACTGTCGCAGCTCCAAGAACATTACGTGCCAATCGTTGCGCAAGTCCATCTGCGCGTATACGTTGTACTCTATGTGCCACCCCGCACCAGCCTTCAAGGATTTTTCTAAAACTGTTCCATCGAGAGCCCCCGGGACAATTTGGGGCCCAGAGCAATGCTGTAAACCGGAAGAGGTTTGTGGCGGGAAGCCGTGGTTTTTCGCCCCAGACAGCCCAAGCGGTGCAGGACATCGTGTTTCGGTTTTTCTAATTATGCGCGCATTACACGTCCACACCTGCATGGCAGCCAAACGATTCGCAGCCTCGCTGCAATAGAGCAAGGTAGATGCGCGGGCGCGCAGCCTGCGGAACACCAGAACGAAACATACTATTTTGATGTTTTCCATGTTTGCTTAGGTAGACCCAGGATGTTTTCCATGTTTGCTTAGGTAGACCCAGGCCCCTAAACGCGAGGACAATTTCATGTTGGGCTGGCGCGCTTGTATGCGCGTGCAGGCGTTGCCAGAAATCCGCCCGCGTTGCCGAACCTATCGTGTTTCTTTCACAGGCCAGGTGAAAGCCTTCGAGTTTCCAGTGGAAGCATGCGCAAAACAAAGGCGCGCGCATTTCCATGACGATTCACTGTTCTTTCGCAATGCAAAGCTGCCCGCGCTGGATTGACGCCTAAACCTTTGCATGCGCGCGCAGGGCCCGCTTGTCTGGCGCTTCGCCTAGCGCGCCTACATCGCGGCGATATCGCGCGCGGCAAAGCGCTACCTGGGCGCTGCATCTAGACAGCGCAGTTAGCATGGCGGACGATTCCAGAGCCGCGCTTGCTCTGCAACTTGGCAGGCATCCAGCAAAGCAGGACCGCGAAACGCTCCATTGTTTATGCACCAATCAATCTCGCGCCTCACGAATCGGGACCATCGGCCCAGCGCGCGCGGCAACCGCAGCGCTTCATGGCTGCGCGATTCGCCGACGAAGCCCGAGCACTTCTGCGCGCGGCCACAGCGCTCGCCAGATTTGATCAGCTGCAAGGCTTGCGCGACGCGCGACGCGCGCGCAGTCATAACGCGGCAACGCGCGGCTCCTGATGGGCGCGCGAAAGCGCGTGGCGCGGCGCAGCGCAGACGGCGGCAGTCGCGCTGGCGGCGGTGGCAAGCGCGCGCGAAGGCGGAAGAGGGTGAAATCGTCGCGCGCAGCAGACCGATTTCCCCGTCTTCCCAATGTCGCAGCACGAAGGGTTCAGGGCGCGCGGGGCGGGGAAGTGTCAAGGGCGGCGGGTTGCGCGTCGAAGTTGCGCACTGCCGCGAGAAAGCCAACTGCCAATGATTTTGCGCTGGGAAAGCAATCGCTCGCCCGTGGCCGGCGCGCGAAGTTGATCGAGCACGGCTTGCGAGCGCGGGGGCATGGCGGCGCCCGCTGCGTCTGCGCTGCCAGCTAGACATGTCGGGCGGGCGTTGGAACCAATGAACGCGGCGCAGCGCAGCGGTGAAAAGCGCGGGCAGGCTGCGCGGGGGGGCGGGGGGGGGGCGGGGTGCAGCGGCGATGGCGGCGGCGAAGTTGGCGAGAAACGCCTGGCGCTGGCGGGGCGCAAGGGCGGCGCGCGCGGTCAATCGGTCGGAGCCGCGCGGGGCGAAGAACGGGGTTCGGCGCGGCGAAGCGAGCGAGGCGCGCGCCTGCCACGGTTTGGCAGACGCGCGGCGGGCGGGCGGCGTTGAACGGCGTTGCGCGCTTGCTGGTCTGGCGGCGCCCCCAGCGGCCGACGCGCAGGCATGGGGCCGCTGCGTCTGATGGTTGCGCGCCCAGCGGGGGGAAGGATGGGCGGCGACGGGCGTGAGGCGAGAGCGCGCGCTGCGCTTGTGCACAGCTGCCACGCCGCCGCGCGGCGGCTGGCAAACGCGCCGCGGCGGTGGCGAGCCTCCTTCGCAGCGGGCAAAGGCCGCAATTGGCAACGGGGGGCGCGCGCGGGCGAAAGGCGAAGCGCAGCGAACGCGAGCGCGAATGCGCGGGGTCGCGATGCCATGGCCAGGTTTGACGGGCCCGCGGCGGTGGCTGCATTTTTTTGCGAACAAACATGCGGCGCGCGACCCAGAATGCGGGCGGCGCGCGGGCGGGCGCGCGGCGCGACGTCGCGGATCTCACGCGCGATGCAGCGGTTGGGGCGGCGATGGGGGGGAGAGGGGGGGGGCGGGCGATCTTTTCCCAACCATCCTGTGGTGTTGGGTCCTCGTTTTGAAGAGACGGTGCCCCGCGTTCCGGCCTCCTTCCTTCCTCCCTCCTCCCCCTTCCTCCCCCTCCCACATCCATTCTGGCACGCCCCTCACGCGTTTCGTGGCCCCATAGGGGGCTCCACCGAAGGCCCCAGTGGCTGCGTTCGCACGCGGTTCCACCCCCCATTTCGGCACACCCCTCACACGTTTCGTT